ACACAATAGGCATTATAACTGTCACTAAGCCAGAATGACCACAGTGCTAGTCTTCACTGTCGTTTCTTGAACTATCACAGTGAATCAGTAAAAACTAATTTTCTGAATAATTATTTAGTCAGTATTTGTGAAAAAGTGTCTCCCATAGTTGAAAATCCCAAATCTTGCAATACCAGGCAAACAATTTCAATACTACATTTGTTGGAGGATTAGAATTTTTGTTGTTTAACTTCAAATAAGATGTAAATTATGTACAACTCATTGCACAGTAAAAAAAACAATATTAAAGTAAGAAGCAAAAAATTGAAACAACACTGTGTGATGGTGTACGCCCATATACTATAATATCATTATATGGACATACACCGTCACAGTGTTGTTTCAAATTCTCTTTCAATATATATGTATGTATGTTTCCTACCAGTTTCTGAATACGAAGAATCGGTCATGGGAGTGTCTGGAGACTGGCAGCGTATTAGACCGCTTAATTCCTCTGAGTCCTCCACCTCTTCTTCTTCTTTCATTACCTCATCAATGTCTTCTACTTCATCCTCCTCTCTGCCTCGTCCTGTGTATCCCTCCTTCCCCTGTTCCCCCTCCTCGTCCTTCCCGTTATTGTTGAAAGAGGTTTTTTGGATGAGCCTGCGCCCTGCCCCCTCTTCATCTTGTGAAGGAGAAAGACTTTGACTCTGTGCAAGTGAGTTCGTCTCATTGAGGTTTTGAGTTTGGGCAGTGAGAGCTTCAGGGTTGGGTAGGTTATCACAGAGGTCAACCCCACCCACAGGAACGTGTGACATTACTCTGCCCTCCCTCTCAAACTGACCTGGAGATCAAAGAAATAATGTAATAAAAAAAATTATTAGTTTAAATTACAATAGAGATAAAGTAAGAAATTAAACTGAATTCCTATACAGTATGAATGTCATTTCATTGGACCCCATATTTATAGGCGACACAGTCAACTGCAACTTGAGACAAAGCAACCACAGCATAGAAAAAAAAAAACAGCCATTCTCATTCTCCAGAGCTTTACTTTCACTGTAACTCACATCCAATCAGAGTTCATATTGTGGTTTTGATGTTGCTGTTCTTAAATATGTTGAGCTTATATTTTATGTTATACCTTAGAGAAATTTGAACACTCACCACCATGATCCATTGGGCTCCACTCTCACAATGTCTGACCTTTCAACCCTGAAGGTCAGTGCCGCCTGTTAGACAAGCCCTTCTTCAAGCCTGAGACAAAACACAGATACGAAACAAGTTTAACATCATTCCCAAGCTGTCAAACAAACCCTAGGGCTTAAAGAGATAAAAAAAAAAAACAACAAACACATTGTACTGCAGTAGAATATTTGGACACACACGCAAACAAGCGTATTCATGTACATGGTGATTAGACATTGTGAGGACTTAACACTTTCACTAACTCTTAAGACACAAACATGCATATTATAGAAAAACACCTGAAAACTCTGTACAAGTCCTAAACATCATCTATTTGCCAACAAGGTTAAAACTCAAAGGGCAAGTTATATGTCAAGAATGAGAATGAGAATTTGAGAGAACAGCTTTTGCATAACCAGTAAAACAACAACTGAGACTTTAGATATTAAGTACAGTGAGAAAGACTGAGATACAAAAAAAGGTAGACAACGACATTAAGACACTTACGAGAAGGATTTATGACATGGAGACTGCAGTGTCAGCGTGAACCCAGAGTAGAAAAGAAAAAGCAAAATACCTATGGGAGACAAGCATACCAATATATACATTAACAAATTATATATTGTCTACCCATATTTACATACATGAGGCAGACAAAATATTATAACCAACAATACAGTGTAATCCAAAACAACACTACAAACTATGGCCTCAAAAATTATTACATAATTAAATCAACACTTCTCTGACAGTGAAAAATAAATTCTCAAAGATAGGATTTATGCAGGTTTGTTGTTTGCAATAGATTGTGCAAGTGTACAAAGATAAATCAGTGTACACTGTAAACCAGTATTGTGCAATAATATGCTTTTTCATTTTAGTGCCACACTTCAGTTGGTTCAGCAACAAACTGAACACAAAGACTGACAATGCAAAAACACGTTTTTTGACAAAGTTTTGTCATGTTGTGAATATAAATAACTGCATCTCCTGCAAATGAGACCGCTGCCAGTGCCTTAACTTTTCTGTCTAACATTTGAATCATGTGCAAACTTCCAATCAGTTTCTGGACCTATGCAATTTAAACACACACAGTCTGCATTCAGGTCTGTGAGACAACAATTATTTAGGGCATGTAATTTGACATATTCCAGTCTGCAGTCAAAAGTACTTTTCAACATACACATCTTATAGTACCCTCATAGGTAAAGCACACAGAACTTCTCTTCAAACATCGTACAACCACTGGCTGTAATATGCTTGACCGTATCCTATGACAACAGCGATTTAACATACAAAACTGTACTTATAGATTTTGGCGATATTTTGAAGCCACAAGATGGTGAAATCTAAATCCTGCACAAACAAACACGCGCCTGGCTAATGAAAGCCTATCTCAGAGGAATAAGGCAGTCCTGGTTTCCTGCAGCACTGTGCTAATTGTTCTTCCTGTAACCCTGTGTTGCCCTGAGAGAGACTCTGACCAAACATTTAGAAAGAAAAAAAGAAAGCCAGGACAATTGCAACTTGCACAATTTTGGTTCTTTGTGTCCATTTTATTATTAAGGCCCTTAGTGACATTTGCACATAAAATATGGTAATAGACAAGTGTCCCAGAGAAATGCCTTGGGAGATGAATCCATGAACAAATCAGCCCTGAGGCCTGCTGTCTCCAAAGGGGAGTGAGGGAATACATAACTATCTTGCTATTAGGTTGCATAAGCTCTATATATTTAAACAGCACCTTCTGGATACATGCTATACCCCATTGGGGAGCAAAGTCTGCTTTCTTTGATATTAACATGCCTCTGAGATCAAACTAGAACCAAGTAGAGGCTATTTTGGGGTCCAATTACACCAAGCTGAATGTCCCTCTGGAAGTTAAAACAGTCCCAGACTATGACAAACACCCTTGACATTAAGGCTTATGCAAGAACAACCTCCACATTACACACACACACACACAGGTGTCACTGTACCTATCAGACATCTTTATTATGCTTTGTAGAGTTTTTTTTTTTAATCTACAGTTTAATTTTCCTCTCCCACAGAGCCATCTGTCCATACAACCATCTATCACCTCCTCTTTTTGTCTGTGCCCTCCTCCAGAGGGGACCATGAATAATGTAACACATGAGAGTGGACAAACGAAGAAGGGAATTCAGCCAAAAGGACAAACACAAAGGTGGAAGAAACAGACCCTGTCCTGTGAGAGGCCACTGTTAAGATTTGAGACAGACAGCACAGCCACAGACAGGAACATAGCTTAAAACAACATGAAACCTACTAACACATCCTGTGAGACAGGCAGAGTACCAGGTCATGTTTACATTGTGACCTTGTATAAATTACCTAAATATCACAAAAGAAAATCTGGCAAGCCAGCAAACGAGAGGTAAAGTATATGCAGTGATGGTACCTTAGTCATTCAGAGATGTGGGGGGGTTAGTGTTGGCTGGACATCAGTTCAGGCCTGAAAGTCTCCAGCTAAATTACAATGTGTGTACTAACTAGGAAAGTTTGACTCGCCGCTATGTCTATATATATTTAACGTCACCTGGGCAAGTTATCCACTCTAGGTCAAAACACCGCAAATGACAGTCAGTGACGGCAGACTGCGTCTGTCATTTTCCCTGTAATATAACTTACACAGATGCAACTAACACTAATTGCTTAGTGACGTTAGTTGTCTCATTAACCGAGCTAGATTTGGTTTTTAATAAAAAAGCTAATTAGCCTGACTCGCCTTAACTGTAATAATACTTGAAACATTAGCTTGGTCGCTACCGCTAAGGTTCAAGCACAGTGCTGGTTTAACATTACCCCTCTTGACAGTCTTTAGCCGTTTCCGTCAAATTGCAATAAAACGTCTGAGCAGAGCCAAGTTAATGACCGGCTAGTTAACGTTAAGCCAACGCTAGCTGGATATTAATACCTAACCGCAAGGCTACGGCGACAAAATACTGTTAACATTATAGTATGTTGCTGTTGCTAGCTAACGTGAGCTAGCCGAGTACAGGAGAAACATCTGGGCAGTACACCGCGGAGAAAACCTTAAAAATATACACCTTTGTTTGTTTGCTTTACGTAAATGCGATGGCTTTCATATTATTAGACTTCTGCGAGTCCTGCCAGACACAACAGTAAAACGATACTTACGGCTGAAAATGTTGTATGAACGGTAAAAGCTCGGGCATCAGACACCTTGCTGTGGATGTTGTTGTAATGACTGTAAGTGTCACCGACAGACAGCCAGGGGTCGTTGCTACCGCTGTCATCAGGCCTGCTGCTGCAAAACCTACGGACACCAGATGCACTGTCGCCACCTTCTGTCTCTTCATTGTTAGTACGTGGATTTTGTTCAACGAGCATTTTCGTACACGACCACCAGCTCAATTCCAGTGCCTTTTCTCTCACTGACCTATTTTCACCTCATGGTGCTGCCAAACCCGGCTGTTTACAGCGCTTTGGGGATAGCTATTGGATAAGTTTAGATTTTAGAGACTTGAGCTTACTGTGAATCCAAAACCCCATCTTATAAGAATCAGTCACTCACATCTACCTAGTGGTCTTTACAGTAAAATAATTTATTTCAGAAGCTATATTTTGTACAGATGCATTACTGCTTGGCGTGTATGGCATGAAAATAGACAAGTGAAGCACTCATAACAAATGGCCATGTCATTCCAACCTAATAAATCACTGTGTTCACTGTATGCAACTAGAGAAGCAAAGTAATAGATTTAGCCTGGCTAAAACCCCAAGACTCACCAAAGAGCAATGATGGTACCACATCCTAAAACAGGCCCAAAATCAATCTCTCCCCCACACTATATTATCAAAATTCAGATTTAATGATTTAAAAAAAAGAATTATATATTAGACACACAGCTTATACATTGCTTAGAGCATGACATTCTGGCCAGGTACACAAGCTTATTTGCTCACAATGAATATACAAAAATTTACATGAGGCTATACAGTGAAAAACTCCTTTACATATGCAATCCTTCTTGCTGTGCACTTACTGCACTAGTACTCCCCTCAAGACATCAGTTTGGCAATACAATATACATGTAGAATTATGTTCTGTGAAGCTTCTGTGACAATGCACACTCTACTTCATGAACAGTACAAACCCATTTCTGAATGAAAATAATATGATTTGCATGATCTGGTGCATCCACTAGCATTTTTTTCAGCCAGCTTTGAAATGCTGCCGTTGTGCTTCTTCATTCTTTGTGTACTGATAATCAGTTGGATGAAAAGTGGATTACATGCAGTATCTTGTGGGGGCCCAAAATAAACCATTGCTGCTACAGTACAAAGTGGGGGTCATTTGAAGGTGTTTCTCCATTGTCCTAAAGTACAGTTAGTCAACATTTTCATCATTTCAGTAACAAAAATATTTATGCAGTCAAGTTGAGTTCATTTCATTGACATTTATTACTATTTTATGACTTCCTTTATGCATAAATGTCCCATGTTGCATTACATCACATATTATATTATTCTTTTTTTACATTACACCACCATTATATTATACATGTTTTTATGTACCTCTTTGTGTTTTAATTGCATAAATCTATACATTTGACCTGTTTGTCTGTTAGCCCCAACCTTCTCTCTGTGTGTTCTCTAGGATCTCCTCATAAAGCCAACTCTGTGTGAACTCCTGACTCTTGTCCATCAACTGGAACAATTGGAGATACTCCTCTGGATATACGTGTCCTGTCAGAATGTCCTCCTGCATACCCATTTCCGATAACAGCTTACTCCCGCTATCTGGTGACCAGAGACTAGAAGAAAAAAAAAGCACCAAAGAGGAAGAATAAGCAAGAGGAAAACAAGCTCAGAAGATATGTCAACTGCAACAGCCTATAACATTACTACAGTATTGAGGCACTTGTTGTGTCTGCACGTCTTCCACAGTTGTTTGATGCAAGAAGAGCAGTGTGTGAAAGCCTGTACACCTGCTTAAAGAACTTTGTGTGTGTGTGTGTGTCTGCACGTTGTTTACTTGAGCCTCTCGATGAGCTTGACCTTCCTCTTTGCCAGACACTGTTTGATCATCATCAGCAGAGTTGAAGCGTTAGAGGGAGTAAGGCCTGCAGAAAACAGATCAGCCCTTGGACGCAGACGCACCAGGCACAGGTGGTCATTGGGAAGCTGAAGGGAGACGGGGGGGGGCTTGTATTAAATGTGCGACACCAATCAAGTTTACATAGCTATTACTGAGTCTGTTTTCTTCCTTACCTTGCCTTTACGATCAGCTACACTCTGTCTTGAAGAAATCACAAATGACTCCCAGGGCTCCTGCAAAGACAAAGATAAGGAGGTTGACAACTAGAAGACTCATTTGTCCTATTTATGTCAAAAATGTGTGGAAAGTGTATAATTTTTTTGTGGTATGATCCCACGCATTAGCTTCAAGGAAGTATCATAAAATTAAGCCCTGTATCATTTTTTTAAATACCTAAAATAATGTTATTTGCCACCCTCCATCATACTGTACCTTGTGCAGTAGGTCGATATCACAGGCCATCTGCCAGAGGACACTGAAGGCTCTGTAGTGCATCATTTGACCTGGACGTGACACCAGTTTCTGAAAATAATAGTTAAATATTTTACACAAGGATCAAAAAAACTGTCAGATTATGGATTAATTTAATATTCCACACACCAGTCTACCCTCAGTATCAACTAGTGAATGTGTTGTCACTGTCAGCATTGTTAGTAATTAAGTGTAGATCTGAGCTGACAGTATGTGGGAGGACAAGTGTAACCATCTTCATCCTCTTGCAGACAAACACACACATCAGGTTATGCTGTGAGCAGTAGACTGACTGATACTCCTCCTTCATTTCTGCAGATAAGAGGTTAAAAGGCTGTCATTCTTTTACCAGGTATTCCTTCTCGCTCATGAAGAGGTTGAGCTCTATCCTTCCGTATCTGAAGACAGACAGCCGTTCAAACAAAGCATAAACCATCTTCAGCAGCATGCCACGCTCATTATGCTGAGGCAGGATACCCACCACCTTCACTGGGATGTCTAGAGAGACACACACATGAATACATTACCAAAACACACTTTAGAGGGATGTAACACTATTCAATGCACAGTGCTCATTCAGTTAAGTGTGTTATAGCATAAAAGCTACATACCAAACCATTACACTGATGCAATGTGATGTCATTTTTTCCAAACCTTTATTGATTGTAAAAACTTGTCTAAATGCTTGAAACCAGCGAGCTGCTGAAAAGGTTCCAATAATCAAAAGTTTTAGGTATCTACAGTGGGGTAAAGAATTGTTAGGATAATATTTACTGTATGAAAGAGGTAAGATTTGTTTACAGCCAGAGAGGCTCAACTAAAGGAACAAAATCCCCTTTGTGTATACATGAAAGAGTGAATTTGCAACACTGCAGTGTCTTAGGTCAGCTGCACTGTTTGTTTGTTTGTGTGCATGTTTTTTTCTCACCATCGGTCCAATTAGCTTCTGATATTCCCAGATCAGTGAACAGTTTGTCAGTGAACATGACAGGGGGTCTCAGGTTTCCACCGCCAATGGGATCTAGCTTAAAGTAGTCACAGTGAACCACCTCTAGCTGACCATCAAGACGACCTTCCAACTCCTAGAACATGAAAACATCATTTATTTGTCTCATTGATACCTCAAGGAAAAAAAGACTAATTGAAGACACAACACCAGATATATACAGTGATTTGGATTAGAACTCGGGATTGGTGAAAGTGATAGTTTGGGTTACTTGACTTGAGGTTGTGTGAAGTACTTATCTATAGCCAGTGTATTACCTGCAGTACATTTGGATCAGAGCACTCCCTGTTTAAAGAAGCAGCCAAGAACACTGGTACAGAATCTGAGTAATGTGCTGCTGTGGACAGAGCCAGCCACAAAAATGTGTTTGAGCCACTGTGTTTTAGCCACTTTAAAAAAAAAAAAGGCCACCGAAAAAAGTCAATATCAGTTGAGGTGTATGATTTATTTTCAATATTTTCACCGCTTTATCTGCCATCAAAAAGCCCTTTCCTTTGGTACTACATTTTCTCAACCATTAAACTACTGTATTCCTATGCCAAAGGTACGCCGTAGATCAGCTGTTTGAGTCTGACAAAGCTGAACTTCACTTTTGTAAACATTTCTAAGATGGCACGTGTTTGTATTCAGCATTCATTTAGCATTCACTAAGGCAGGAAAATGGATGGCTGTTGATGCAGACTGGATGTGAGATGCTGGCATTCTCTGATTCAGAAAGATCCCGAAGTTGTGTTGTAACCAAGTCCCCCTCATTACAGCAGCAGCTGTCCGGGTCCATGGGCATGGGCTTACAGTTCACACATCTGCACCACCAGGTAGTGCATGTGAGCTCTTTTTTTGGCCTCCAGCTTCCCCAGAAAATTCCCTTTTCTCTGTTTCAGCTCATTCATTCTGCATTTGCGAAAGTTCTTCTGCTGTATACTCTTGCTCATAAAAGTATCCTTTTGTCTCCACACACAATGACATTTTGTCTGTGCCATCATAATCACTCATTTTTATTTTATTTTATTTGTCGTCATTTCCACAAACCACTCAAACAACTGCTCTACAGTGTGATACAGTGGCGTAGGTGTGCTTCTGCGCAGAAATACAGTAGGTCAAAAGATCCCAAAATCCCAAAACTACATTTTGTAGTGCCAAAGGAAAGGGCTGTTTGACGGCAAGATAAAACAGTGAAAGTATTCAAAATATAGTGTACACTTCAACTGATATTGGCTTTTTTTGCAGGCATTTTTTTTTTTTTTTTTTTTTTAAAAGGGGCTAAAACACATGTTTTGCAGCTGTGCCTGTCCACAGTAGTACATCTCTCAGCTTTTGTGCTGGTATTCCTGGCTGCCTCTCCAAAGATGGAACTCGCCAATCCGAATCTACTGCAGGTAATACACTGACTATAAGTTAAGTACCTCACACAGCACCACATCAAATACATCAAAATATCCATTTAAGATTTGTGTAATGATACAAAAAGTTGTTTGATTCTTAGAGATGTTTGTGTTACCCGTAGGTCATGCAGGAAGAACCTGTCCCCTTCAAGAGCCACAAGCCTCTGAGCTCCAGCATTTAGCAGTGTCCTGGTCAACACCCCAGGACCTAAGAGAGACAGACAAGAAAAAATGTTTAGTTTGTCAAATTAGATGAAAGTTGCACATGAAATGCACTTGCAGAAGAACAAAAAATCAAGTCCACCTCTGTGTTTCACTGATGTAAACATTGTATAAATTCATACCTGGGTTACATTCGAAGATAACAGCTTTAGAATCCTCAGGTCCTAGATGCTGCGTTACCAGTTTAGCCAGGTCTGGGTCCACTATGAGATGTCTGATTTTTTTACAGGCCATAGCACGGAGTAAATTCTCCTCTACCTCCGCAAGGTCCAGGAAGTTATACTGACATAGTGGACGACACTGGCCCTGGAGAAACACATAAATGCATATAGAGTTTGAAAATCAACAAGTGAAAAAGCTCACAAATTTTTTTCACCCACTATTTTTTTTTCATAGCTTATTGCATAAAGCCAAGCTCCTTTCCAATGCATGCATTTTCTCCTCACACAAAGTAATTCAAGTAACCAGGAAAACATCAATATTTATTCACTTTTTTTAGCTAAAACCACATCAATTAAAACTTTAATGGCACCTGAGGCAAAACTGGGGCACTGCAGCAGCAGACACACACAGAACACAGCAAATTCATGTACATCGTTGATAGGAATACAGCAAAAAAGAGTCATCCTAACCACAGTTAGCAGGGGGAAAATTGCCTTTAAATAGATTTCCTTTTATCTATTTTCATGTCTGTTTTCATACTGTGTCTCCATTGCAAACATATCATACAAATACCACTTTTTTTGCCAATATAAGAAAATTCCTTAAAGACAGAACTTTCCCCACAACTTTAAACCCAATTAATACATAAAGGAAAAAGGTACAGAAGCAGAAACATCAGTAAATCGATATCAGAGAGGTTATGTATGTCATTAGTTCTACATACACTACAATGCAGTTGAAAATTAGTGTCCGGAAAAATATAAAGCCAAAGATAACTGCCTACCTGTACAGCCGCAGCAGACAGGTACCTGGGCGAAAGTGGTGCGGAAGGTGAAGTCCCCTCTGTGTGGGGCTGCTGTAAACTCGGACCATGTGCCGGCCGACCAGGACCCGAAGACAGAGAGTCCAGGCTGTAAGCCCTTCTATGAAGCACTGGAGCTCCAGGAACACAGGGACCAGGGGGACCCACAGGGGTCAACACTGCCTTGCGCAAACAGGATCTACTTCTGACAGTCCTGCAGCAAGCAGAGTGCATCACCAGCTGCACTACTCTACAGATCTGGATGGACATGGTGGACCAGTGGATGTATAACTATAGAGGGGGAAGGGTGGAGGGAGATTTAAGGACGTCTCAAAGACGTCACTGCCTAGAGAGAACAGGGAGGAAAAGGAATAAGAGATGTCAAGATGAACAACGATCTGCTTTGAGAAACAGCAACATAGATTTAAGAGACATTAATTTACATTTAAACATGTTCTATCAATTTTCAGAATACTTTGGTAACTTGCGAATACTTTCTCAAAAACTATTCTAACATCTAGCTGATTGTTTAACTGTCCCATTTAAAAAGGGGCAATATGATGGCTAAAATTTAGAAAGAAAAAAAAAAGAAAAAAATCGACCGTAGATATCATACTAAGATTGGATTAATGATGTAAACAAAACCTCCGTAACAACTGCGTGTCACAATGGTCGCAGTTTGCTCTGTTAGCACGTGGGCAAACTTCTTCTCTGTAACATTTAATATCTCAACTCTGTCGGCCTCACCGGAGAGGTGTTCACTGTCCTTCCCTGACCCTGTAAGGTCACAAACGTTGGTTCTTGGCCAAAGAGGCACAAAATAACAACGCTTGATGTTACATAAAGGTGGTAAACAATATGAAGGGACTGATGATAGTATCACTGGCTAGCCGTGCGCTAACGCCACTCAAAGCTAAGGCTCGAAATGCATTTAATGTAGTTTCACCCGGAGAAACGCATACATACCTACTTGCAGAATATCTTATATGTCCCAATTCTATGACAGAAGTGATTTTAAGGACAGGCTGTCGGCGATCTGTTTGCTGACAACGTTCCGTGACATTGAGCCGATCGTCCTGACCCTCACTTCATTTTGCAATGCTTGTCTCATGGTGTTGCTGGCGCATCTGAATGTCGTCATTGATAGGCGACATCTGCGAGGACCAATCAAAAACTCGAGGAAGTTGTTGCGCTGATAAGCGAATGATAAAAAAAAATCTAAATGTGGAAATAGGACATGTATAACCAGAAAAATACAAGTTATTCAGTAAATACACATTTCACACAATGCACATTCATTACACGTAATTGTTTCGGTGGCTATGAACTACCGCTGCTTCTGTTAATAACAGTTAGCATATTAGCATAATGTTGCTAGGGAAGTACAGAAAGCAGAGGCGTTAAAACCGGTTTGGTCCTCCCCCGTCAGTCAGTCAGACCGAGTCCAGCAGAGAGGTGAGCCACTCCAGCCTGTCTCCTGTCACCATGGCGCATGTTGAGACATCCTCTAGCAGGCCGTACCACCTGGTTATCTTCGGAGCCTCTGGCTTCACGGGGCAGTTTGTGGTGGAGGAAGTGGCACGGACTGTGTCCGAGGGTCCGAAGGGGAACCTGAAGTGGGCCGTGGCGGGCAGAAGCAAGCAGAAGCTGGAAAAAGTTGTGGAGCAGGCCGCCGGAGTCCTCAGTATGTACCTGAACAGTCTTAGTATACGTGCGTGTTGCAGCAGGGACAGCTTTTTAATTCATTTGTTTAGCAGAGATAACCTCGAGTGCAGGGATATGTATCTGGTGAACTCATTTTCCAAGAATACTTGGTGTTTTTTCGGGAAAGGGAAATTGCTTAACTCAAGATGACAAATCTATCCAAGTGATAATGCTGATAATGATAAGTTTGACATGACTTTGACCCTAAACTTTGACTGAACTCCAAAGTGTAAGCTAGGTTGCAACAGATAAGCATAAAATGTAAATGTTTTTACATTAATGAACAGAAATTAACTCTTTACTTTGCTGAGACGGTAAGCAGTTAATGGTTGATGATTATTCATTCAGACTATTAGTGAGTATATTTTCAGATGATCATCTTTGATTCAACTGTAATAACTGTATGATTGATTGTTGATATGTTGAGATGAATTGATTCATGTATCAATTTAATGGCAGAAAGCAATTAAAACACCCATCACCCAGAGTCCATGGTGACATCTTCATGCATCCTGGTTAGTCCAACCAACTGTCAAAGTCAAAGATATTCAATTTACAATCACGAATAACAGAGAAACACAAGAAATCTCTTTTTGAGAAGCTATATCAAACCTTTTGCCTTTTGCTAATTAAACCTCTTAAATTATTAGTAAATTATAATAATACTTAGTCATTGGCTTCCTGTTTCTCGACTAATTAATTAATGATTTATTTAGGTATTTCAGCTCTAACAGAAAAAGAAATATAATTGACCTGCATGCAAATAATACACTATATGGTCTATGTAACAAACATTTACTCTTGCCAGTATGCCAGTAATTTTCCAGGTTGATGATTTGTATCCATGCAACACTGTAAACATGGAAAAGTAAGTCCATCACCAGATCAAAACCAGGGAGCTATTGTGCTGTCATGCAGTAATGTGGGTTTCCAGAGGATTAGCTAGTCATTCTGTTGTCCCCTCCTCTACAGCTTGCTCTTCAGGGAGTGTACAACAGCTGATGGAACATACCCGCTAACTGTACAGTCCCTGTCCATGACGACACACACACAGCCCGACAAGTCAGCTAATCTAGTCATTCAGTGAGCACTGAAGACTGCAGTTTGTCCCTTACAACTGAAACCTTGACAGTTATAGTGTCATGTTTAAAAACAGCTTCTGTTGTTTTTGCAAGATCCTTACAGTATTTCTAGTACATGGCAAGACATTTAATCCAACACAGACCATATCTGTGTTCCTGTATTTTATCATGTTTTTTTTTTTTTTTTTTTTTCTCCTCACATATTTTCATGCAATACTATTATTACCCTACTACGTATTCTCACTGACCAGTGTTAGTCCTGTTTATTCTTTGACTTTTACATAGATTTTAAGAGACATTAATTTACAATTAAACATGTTCTATCAATTTTCAGAATACTTTGGTAACTTGCGAATACTTTCTCAAAAACTATTCTAACATCTAGCTGATTGTTTAACTGTCCCATTTAAAAAGGGGCAATATGATGGCTAAAATTTAGAAAGAAAAAAAAAGAAAAAAAATCGACCGTAGATATCATACTAAGATTGGATTAATGAATGTAAACAAAACCTCCCGTAACAACTGCGTGTCACAATGTCGCAGTTTGGTCTGTTAGCACGTGGGCAAACTTCTTCTCTGTAACATTTAATATCTCAAACTCTGTCGGCCTCACCGGAGAGGTGTTCACTGTCCTTCCCTGACCCTGTAAGGTCACAAACGTTGGTTCTTGGCCAAAGAGGGCACAAAATAACAACGCTGATGTTACATAAAGGTGGTAAACAATATGAAGGGACTGATGATAGTATCACTGGCTAGCCGTGCGCTAACGCCACTCAAAGCTACGGCTCAAATGCATTTAATGTAGTTTCACCGGGAGAAACGCATAATACCTACTTGCAGAATATCTTATATGTCCCAATTCTATGACAGAAGTGATTTTAAGGACAGGCTGTCGGCGATCTGTTTGCTGACAAACGTTCCGTGACATTTGAGCCGATCGTCCTGACCCTCATTCATTTTGCAATGCTTGTCTCATGGTGTTGCTGGCGCATCTGAATGTCGTCATTGATAGGCGACATCTGCGAGAACCAATCAAAAACTCGAGGAAGTTGTTGCGCTGATAAGCGAATGATAAAAAAAAATCTAAATGTGGAAATAGGACATGTATAACCAGAAAAATACAAGTTATTCAGTAAATACACAATTCACACAATGCACATTCATTACACGTATTGTTTCGGTGGCTATGAACTACCGCTGCTTCTGTTAATAACACAGTTAGCAATATTAGCATAATGTTGCTAGGGAAAGTACAGAAAGCAGAGGCGTTAAAACCAGTTTGGTCCTCCCCGTCAGTCAGTCAGACCGAGTCCAGCAGAGAGGTGAGCCACTCCAGCCTGTCTCCTGTCACCATGGCGCATGTTGAGACATCCCTCTAGCAGGCCTACCACCTGGTTATCTTCGGAGCCTCTGGCTTCACCGGGCAGTTTGTGTGGGGAGGAAGTGGCACGGACTGTGTCCGAGGGTCCGAAGGGGAACCTGAAGTGGGCCGTGGCGGGCAGAAGCAAGCAGAAGCTGGAAAAAGTTGTGGAGCAGGCCGCCGGAGTCCTCAGTATGTACCTGAACAGTCTTAGTATACGTGCGTGTTGCAGCAGGGACAGCTTTTTAATTCATTTGTTTAGCAAGATAACCTCGAGTGCAGGGATATGTATCTGGTGAACTCATTTTCCAAGAATACGTGTTTTTTCGGGAAAGGAAATTGCTTAACTCAAGATGACAAATCTATCCAAGTGATAATGCTGATAATGATAAGTTTGACATGACTTTGACCCTAAACTTTGACTGAACTCCAAAGTGTAAGCTAGGTTGCAACAGATAAGCATAAAATGTAAATGTTTTTACATTAATGAACAGAAATTAACTCTTTACTTTGCTGAGACGGTAAGCAGTTAATGGTTGATGATTATTCATTCAGACTATTAGTGGTATATTTCAGATGATCATCTTGATTCACTGTATAACGTATGATTGATGTTGATATGTTAATGATTGTTCATGTACAATTTATGGCAGAAAGCATTAAAACACCCATCACCCAGAGTCCATGGTGACATCTTCATGCATCCTGGTTAGTCCAACCAACTGTCAAAGTCAAAGATATTCAATTTACAATCACGAATAACAGAGAAACACAAGAAAATCTCTTTTTGAGAAGCTATATCAAACCTTTTGCCTTTTGCTAATTTAAACCTCTTAAATTATTAGTAAATTATAATAATACTTAGTCATTGGCTTCCTGTTTCTCTACTAATTAATTAATGATTTATTTAGGTATTTCAGCTCTAACAGAAAAAGAAATATAATTGACCTGCATGCAAATAATACACTATATGGTCTATGTAACAAACATTTACTCTTGCCAGTATGCCAGTAATTTTCCAGGTTGATGATTTGTATCCATGCAACACTGTAAACATGGAAAAGTAAGTCCATCACCAGATCAAAACCAGGGAGCTATTGTGCTGTCATGCAGTAATGTGGGTTTCCAGAGGATTAGCTAGTCATTCTGTTGTCCCCTCCTCTACAGCTTGCTCTTCAGGGAGTGTACAACAGCTGATGGAACATACCCGCTAACTGTACAGTCCCTGTCCATGACGACACACACAGCCCCGACAATCAGCTAATCTAGTCATTCAGTGAGCACTGAAGACTGCAGTTTGTCCCTTACAACTGAAACCTTGACAGTTATAGTGTCATGTTTAAAAACAGCTTCTGTTGTTTTTGCAAGATCCTTACAGTATTTCTAGTACATGCAAGACATTTAATCCAAC